CTACTCATCGCGAGGCGGATAGCGAAGACCTTCCTGAGCAGCTTGCATCGGATGTATGTGGGTAGTTCTCTAAATTAGGGGTCCTTTTTGGGATCCAGTTTCAAAGGTGCTGCCTTGTAATGGGTACCCAAAAAGGCACCCTTATCTAGGAAACTACTCATGTGTGAAAGAGTGCCAGTTGGGAGGTCGAGGGTTTTGGGCTTAAGACTCTTGGAGCAGGACTTATATCTTGACGTATCTTGTATCCATCGGGACTTGGGAATGTATCCAGAGGACTAGATAAAATGCACGCCCAGTCTGCTGAGACTACCTTGTTCAGCAGGTAGTGCCAAACTCCGGGGCGACAAAGCGACATCTTAACAGGCTGACCTCTCTAGGTTCCAAAGTAACTTAGGCGTAAACAGGGCCCCCTGAAACCTCAAAGCCTAAACCCTAAACCCTAAAAGCTAAACTCCTGTCCTATAAAACCGGGCTTCTTGCCGTCCCATCCCATGACCCCCCTTTAGATGCTGCAGCCATAACTCGAAAGTGCACCCTGACTGAGTTGTGTGGAATAATTGCCTCAGAACCCCAGACAAAGTGCATAGATCATTAGATCATCCTCTCAAACACAGCAAGTCAGAGCGAAGAGATAAACTCTCACAATGGCATTCTGTCCTACTCTAAAACGAAGGCCGTGTTCTTAACGGCTTGGCCTGGGGCTTCAGGATTTCAGGGCTTTGGGGCTTCAGTATCTGACCCCAGGCCCTCTAAACCCTACGACCCTACGTCCGCTCCAAGCGTCGACCCTCGCGCAGGTCACGTCCCTTCTGCTGCAGGAGGCCGCTCCATCAGGGACCTCGATCGGACTCTGAGGTGCATTGGGTTTAGGGTTTAGGGTTTAGGGTTTAGGGTTTAGGGTTTAGGGTTTAGGGTTTAGGGTTTAGGGTTTAGGGTTTAGGGTTTAGGGTTTAGGGGTTCTTCACGGTAACTTCATACGTATGGTATCTATGATGACAAACCATATTTGGGATCGATACTACCAGACTTATGACTATCGTCCAAGTACAGAACAAGTAGTTTTCCAAAATTGCTTTAGGGTGAGGCTCAGGGAAAGTTCGACCCTCTGACTCACGCTTACTCAAGGCTCAGCGCAACAATCTTACCGTAAACCCATAACCCCTAAACCCTGAACTCCTGAAACCCCCCCCTGAACCCTGACCCCAAACCCTAAACCCTAAACCCTAAACCCTAAACCCTTAACCCCAAAGCCTTGAACCCTTAGAAAAGATCTCGGGCATGGGCCGGAAGCGACCACCTGCGCAGCCACTCGAAGGGCTCTGGTGCCCAAAGCCCCGACCTTCGCGTTGCGGTTTAGGGTTTAGGGTTTAGGGTTTAGGGTTTAGGGTTCAGGGTTTAGGGTTTAGGGTTTAGGGTTAAGGGTTTAGGGTTGAGGGTTGAGGGTTGAGGGTTTAGGGTTCAGTGTTCGGGGTTTAGGGTTTAGGTTACGGTTTAGGGTTTATAGCATGTAGGGTTTAGGGTTTATGGGTTTATTGGGTTCAGGGTGGGGTTGCTATTCTCACTACCATCGTGGTCATCACCATCACCATCACCATCATCACCATCATAATCATCATCATCATCATCATCATCATCATCATCATCATCATCATCATCATCATCATCATCATCATCATCATCATCATCGTAGGGCCCTCACCATCACCACCACCGTCATCATTATGATCATATTGGGGTTCAGGGATTAGGAATTTCGGGTTATGGGGGGTATAAGGTGCGAGAGTGCGCGGATTGAGGGCGTAGGATGTGCAGGAATGAAGTGTTTGGTGAAAATAGGTCGGCTAGTTGGGGCTTCGCTATGCAGACAATGACAATGGTGTTTCGGGTTTCGGGTTTGGAAGGCTCTAAGGCTGCGGCCATATTGCTCCGCCGCTGGCCGCCACAGTGCGACGGAGCTCCTGGGCAAACTCCGCGCGCCACTCCCCCGATCCCGCTCGACCGTCTGACGTGAAGCCCCTTGAAGTTGGACACCCTAAACCCTAAACCCTAAACCCTAAACCCTAAACCCTAAACCCTAAACCCTAAACCCTAAACCCTAAACCCTAACACCTAAACCCTAAACCCTAAACCCTAAACCCTAAACCCTAAACCCTAAACCCTAAACCCTAAACCCTAAACCCTAAACCCTAAACCCTAAACCCTAAACCCTAACCCTAAACCCTAAACCCTAAACCCTAAACCCTAAACCCACGCTGCCCCACGACATCCCCTGCCCGCACTCCCAGTCCCACAGCTTGGTAGCCGAGCAACCACATTTTTGTAAGAAGGGTACTTGTTTAGGGTTTAGGGTTTAGGGTTTAGGGTTTAGGGTTTAGGGTTTAGGGTTTAGGGTTTAGGGTTTAGGGTTTAGGGTTTAGGGGGACCCGTTTTTTGGGGGTTGGTTCCTTTATAAGGAAACCTAGGTTCAGGGCTTAGGGTTTAGTTTTGGGGGATTGGTTCCTGTATAAGGAAACCTAGAACCCCAAAAAAGGGCAGAAGGGTACCACCGGGCTAGCAAGATCAGCTTTTGCTTTAAGGGTCCAGTGGTTTTCCAGTATTGAGCAGGCAGAACGAGGTGATCCCGACCCTAAACCTACGCCATATCAGCCCAAACCACCTCTTTAGGGTTTAGGGTTTAGGGTTTAGGGTTTAGGGTTTAGGGTTTAGGGTTTAGGGTTTAGGGTTTAGGGTTTAGGGTTTAGGGTTTAGGGTTTAGGGTTTAGGGTTTAGGGTTTAGGGTTTAGGGAATGAACTCGAGGCTTCTGCTTGCCCAAAAGGGCGGAGGCACCATGCATACTGCCTCGGATTACGTATCTAGGGGATAGGATTAGGGTTTAGGGTTTAGGGTTTAGGGTTTAGGGTTTAGGGTTTAGGGTTTAGGGTTTAGGGATTAGGGGGACCCTTGGGGATATAGACCTTCTGAATAAGGTCTCTGTTTAAGAGAGCCAGAAGAGGGTAAAGAAGGGGTTCCCTTTTAAGGGTCCCCCTTATCCTACCTAGGAGTATCTTACTGACCCACAAATCTGTTGAACTCAGGCCTTGGGACTCTCAAACGGACTGACCCAAGGGTTTAGGGTTTAGGGTTTAGGGTTTAGGGTTTAGGGTTTAGGGCTTTAGGGCTTTAGGGGTTTAGGGGTTTAGGGGTTTAAGGGTCACTCTCAAGCCCGTCCTCTTCGTGGCCCCAGAGCTTGCCAAAGAACACCGCGGGCTCGCGTGTGGGCGCTCCGTCGCCCAGCCATTCAAGGAACTCCGTGGCGGAGTCGTGTTCGTGCCTGGTCTTCAACGCCCGATGCTCAGAAGCCAAAAGCAACGTTTCAAGTGACTTGCTAAGAACCGCGTGGGTCATCTTAACAACAACCTACAGCATGTGGGTTCAGATGACTTCGTAAGCAATCATCCCTAAACCTAATCACCCTGAACGCTAAACCCTAAACTATATAGACCTCAGCATAAGGTGTGCAGTTTCAGGAAAGACTTTAGTCTTCCGGCCGGGTAGCGGATCTCAGGTCTTGGGTTAGCCATTCTTGCTCTACAGCCCCCGCCCCCTTCCCCCCCACCCAATGAAAGCAAACATCAAAATCAGCCAGCCCCCTAGATCCCAAACGCCCTCCCCCGCCTCTCCTTCTCCTTCCCCCCCGAACGAAAGCCCTAAACCCTAAACCCTTAAACCCTGAACCCTAAACCCTAAACCTTAAACCCAAAAAACCTGTCGCACCAGGCGGCAAGGCCCACTCCAGATTTTCACGCCCGGACTCCACGAGGCGGCAGAAGCCTCCAGGAGTCAGCCAGGAATGGTTGGGGTTTGGGGTTTGGGGTTTGGGGTTTGGGGTTTAGGGGTTTGGGGGTTTGGGGTTGGGGGTTTGGGGTTTATAGGGGTTTAGGCTTTAGGCTGGGGCTTTCGGCCTGTTGACGTGCTAGGGGCGTTTGGGGGTCTGCAAGGCTTCTGGGGGAGGGCTCCAGCACTTCCTTGCGAATGACGCCCAAAACCCGAATCTCTGGTGCCCTTCGGTCGAACATGGGATTGGATTCTGGGTTTTGAGTTTAGGGTTTAGGGTTTAGGGTTTAGGGTTTAACGAGCCAGAAAAACAACTGGATTGCAGGAGTCTTTGTGGCGGGAAAGGCAGGCTCGAGACTTGCTCAGCTACTGGGTCCATGTCTGGTTCTACTTTTTAGGGGTTTAGGGTTTAGGGTTTATGGTTTAGGAGGTTCATGGTACTTATTAACCAATTGTAACCGTACTTATAACTGCACTTATAACCCTATTAGGGCACTTAAGGGGCTTATAAGTGGGTTATGAATACGGTTATAGCTGGTGAAAAAGTACCATGAACATCCAAGTAGCGATAAGTAGGGCTTCCAAGGCTTTAAGAAGGATATGGCTAGAGTTGCCATGCTTATCACCCAGCCTATCGTAAGACCCATCAAACCCTAAACCCTAAACCCTAAACCCTAAACCTCAAACCCTAAACCCTAAACCCTAAACCTGCCACCTGCCTTTCAAAGGGTCCCGGCTCAGCCCAGCGGAGCCAAGCCCAATCTGAGTCAGGGAAGGTGCCAGGAGGGTCGGTTAGGGTTCGGGGTTCGGGGTTTAGGGTTTAGGGTTTAGGGTTTAGGGTTTAGGGGTAGGGTTTATGGGGTCGGTTTGGGTTTAGGGCTGCGGGCTTAGGGTCGAGGTTTGGGACCTTGCTACCTTCTGGGGGTGCGGGGGAGGCAGGGGGGGGGGGGGGGGGGGGGGGCGGGAGGAGGCCAATAAAGTTCTACTAGAAGGGCGCCTAGATTCCGAGATTTCACGGGAGCAGGGAGGGGTTGGGCTGTTTAGGCTTTAGGGCTTCGGGAAGTTTCGGGTTTAGGGTTTCGGGTTTAGGGCTTAGGGAAGTTTCGGGTTTAGGGTTTAGGGTTTAGGGCAGGCAGCTGAAGACTTGCGTGTAGATACATCTAACTGTCCGTCTATGTTTACACAAGTCATGTTTCGAGATGGGCTGAGGGAAGTTGAGATTCTTAGTGTTGGTTAGCAGGGAATCAGGGAATTATAGGGCCCTATATATACCCGTTAAGGGATCATATAGGGTCCCTCGTGGGAAGGTCGGGGTTCTGAGTGGTGAGGTTTCCCTACGAGACCGGAAACTCTAGCAGGTGCAGGGGCGAGGGTTCGCGGCACAGCTTGTCACACGAAAGCAGCTACCCTGAACAGGGTTTAGGGTTTAGGGTTTAGGGTTTAGGGTTTAGGGTTTAGGGTTTAGGGTTTAGGGTTTAGGGTCCTAAACCCGAAACCCGAAACCCTAAACCGCAACTTCCTCGGACTGCTTGACAAGATGTCCTCGATGCTCGGCCAACCCAAAAACCCCTATGCTTGGGGGTTTAGGGTTTCGGGTTTGGGTTGCGGGTTGAGGGTTACAAAGGTATGGCAACTACTTGCCAGAACCTTCTGCCGGGCACTTCGAACCCCACTTCAAAACATTTCATGAACTTCCAAGTCAACCCTATAAGCCCCGAAACCCTAAACCCTATAAGCCCTGAAACCCCACAGACTGGCGCCCCTGGCTTCGTGGTTGGCACCGAATACAGGGGCCTTCATAATTAGAACAGTTGGGCGTTTTTGATATAGGGACCTTCAGGGGATACCAACCCTAAACCCGAAAGACCCTAAACCCTAAGTATTTATTCCGAGTCCTAGAGTACATGGGAAGAGTTAAGGGTCTTGGGCTTTCGTTTGACATCCGTGGCAGGCCTTCAATTGACGTTTTCGAGTCGGATCCAAGATCTTTGAGTCCGGGCCGGCTGCGTGCACAGGGATCTGTGCACGCATCTAGAGTCTGGGCACTATGTCATACTGTCATACTCCATGCAGCACCGCACTTCCATGTGGAAGCGGATTTATGCTCGTAGGCAGCCGTCATCTTGGGAGACGCTGCACACGAATTCAATCCAAAAATGCCTGTGACCCGGTGTCTGTGCCAATGTCCTAAACTTTCAGAACTCTGGCATACGGTTCCCGGGAACTAACTAAGCGCTACAACAACGGTGCGGGTGCTGAGCAAGTCAGTCAGCCGACTTGGTCATTTCCACGGGGATCTTTGGCAGAGTTCGCCACACAAGCAGAGCAAGGGTGAACGACGGCATCGCAAATAGCAGCCCGGCCACAATACGCATCTCAGGCCTAGTTCATGGTTGGGATAATACTAAACATGTAACTTCATCTTCCTTATTGGGTTTGAAGTACCCTTAAAAATGTAAAATGGTACCCAGCTATGACAAAGAGGCAGGAGCACTGAGAAGAGGCTCACATCCCAGACCACGTGCGCTATCCAGAGGCACGCCGCCCCAAACACAACGAGCACTGAGACAAGGCACTCCAGGAGTTGAAAACGTTGCTTCCTGCGTGTCCAGTAGACGGATCGGACCACAAGCCTTTGTTTCTGTTCACGGGAGATTTTGTCGGGATTTCTTGCATATTCTAAACCCTAAACCCTAAACCCCAAACCCCAAACCCCAAACCCCAAACCCTAAACCCTAAACCCTAGTAGGGTTCAAAGGATGATACAACAAACCAGCCGCAAAAGTGTGCTCTTGAGCATCCTGGTAGCAGCATCAATGTCGGGGATATGGCAAACCAATAGGTCAAACCTGGTTCATGGTTGGGATAGCATCAAAGACTTAAGTTTCTATCCCTTATCGAGTTTAAGTATAGGGGCCCCGTTACTACACAAACTTTAGGCAAGGGAGCTCTAACCTAATCCGTAAGAGTTTTATAACCCAATTTAGGACCCTTATAAACCCTATTTACAACTACCGGGCCCCTACATTCTATGTGCCCCTAAACCCTAAACTCCCTAAACTCCCTAAACTCCCTAAACCCTAAACCCGTAAGAATGAAAAATGTTACCCCACTGTGACAAAGAAACCACGCATCAAGTTGTGCACAGCCACTGCGGCGTTGCCGCGGAGGATCCAGTGGGAGGCCAGGTCGACGTAGCCCCAAAACTGGGGTCAGGAAGCTGGGTTTAGGGTTTAGGGTTTAGGCTTGCCTTAATCATCAGAACAGTGTTTTGGGGGGTTATGATGGTATACCTATAAAGTGACGAATGAGGGAATACTGTTTGTAATTCTTCCGACTCCTAAACCCTAAACCCCAAACCCTAAACCATAAACCCCTATGTTCAGGGCAGGCTCAGGGGAGGTCGGGCTCTACTGGTGGGGTGAACGTACTTGTTACCTTTAAGCAGCTTCGCAACTTCATGAGCGCCGTTCGCGCCTTCCGATTTAGGGTTTAGGGTTTAGGGTTTAGGGTTTAGGGTTTAGGGTTTGGGGTTTATATAGGGTTTAGGGTTTGCTGATGCCAACAGCTTGCACAAACAACTGCATGGCGACGCGGCCAAGGCACAACAGGAGCGCTGAATGCAACCACTGACCCGTAGGAAAACACCTGCGGGCACGGGCTGACCCAGAACCAGGGTTTTGGGTTCAGATGGGTTTAGGGTTTAGTGAATCCAAAACCCAACATCACTGCGAACCGTGCTTCAGTGATGAGGGCCACCCTGGGAGAACAAAAGCTTTCTTGAGGGTTTAGGGTACATTCGGGTTCAGGGTTTAGGGTTTAGGGTTTAGGGTTTAGGGTTTAGGGTTTAGGGTTTAGGGTTAGGGCTTAGGCAGCAGCAACCAAGCGCGGCAAGAAGCAACAACAAGGACAAGCAGGGAGAACACGGCCAATGGCCAACCAACATTGAAACATTGAACAGAATCAGCAAAACAACTTCACAAAATATACAGCCGTAGTAAGCAAACAGCAAGGATCCATGCCGAAAGAGAGTTGCCCCGCGAAATGTGTCTTAGCAGTACCAGCGTGCTTGTTTCCATGCGAGCAGGTGTTTCGTGACCTCTGCAAATGCATGGCTTTCGCGGCGGGTCGCACCCTAGCTTGACTTCTGCTGAAACGCTGCGCACGTGCGGTGCTTGGGAAGCCCCATATGCCCTGGGCGAAAAAACATCAAAAAAACAAAAAAAAACAAAACATGATAACAAAACAAATAGACAGCCGTAGTAAGCAAGCAACAATGATCCATGCGGAAAGAGAGCACACCACAACACTGACAAAAAGCATCAACACACAAGGAAACAACGGAACTGCTCAGGGCAACAATCAAAAACAAAATGCCTGCGAGAGGACGATCGGGGAGGAGAGCCGAAGTAACACGATTCCTCCAAGTGTTGGCCCAGGAAATGTTTCTTAGCAGCACGAGCGGGGTTGCTTCCATACGAGCAGGTGTTTCGTGACCTCTGCAAATGGAGGTTTACGAAAACAAGGGACCCATAACATGCACCCCCCCCCCCCCCCCCCCCCCCCCCCCCCAAAAAAAAAATAGTAGGATTCCTGTAAGGATCCCAAGAGAAGGTAACCCTAGATTCGGAAACCCCAAAAATATGGCTTCTGGCGCAAGTCGGTGCGGGGGGGTGGTGAAACAGTGGCTTGCTTTCTTACTGCATGTGGTTTAGGGTTTAGGGTTTAGGGTTTGGGGTTCTAGGGGTCCTCGCACATGCTGAAAAGCTGCGGTGTTTGCGAAACCCCATATGAGGGTTTAGGGTTTAGGGTGTAGGGTTTAGGGACTGATAAGGCTTGACCCTCTCAAGCAGACCTCATTGGAGAGCTGATGAACCAGGGCTTGCGAGACCTCTGACCGGATCCGCTGCTCAAAGACGTCGACGCTCCCAAACCACGAGCAGATACCTAGACCCGGGAGTAGCCTAGGATTAAAGAGGGTGCCCCTTTTTGGTTTTAAGGGGGCTATATGGGAACCCAAGCGCGGAAAAAGGAAATAAGGGCCCAGTCCCGGTCCTAGATGCAGTGACTGATGACCTTCCGATCGCAAAGCATCGCCTCCCCGGTGTCTGCATCCTCCGTTGTCCCCGGGAGGAGGAAGGGCTCCCCTTCGGGACTTAAAAAAGCTCATACAGCTATCCCAAAAAACTTTATACACCCTAAACCCTAAACCCTAATCCCTAAACACTAAACCCTAAACCCTAAACCGTAAACCGTAGACCCTAGACCCTAAACCCTAACCCTAAACCCTAAACCCTGAAGGGTACTACTGGGAAGCCGAAAATCCACGTGATCCACGGTGCAGCACCAACTCTTCACCTTGCCAATGCTGAAGTGAGCCATTTCATCGTGCAGCTCATCGATAGTCCGGCAATACCTTGGGGACCAAAGGACCCTGAAGGGGGTTTAGGGTTTAGGGTTTAGGGTTTAGGGTTTAGGGTTTCGGGCTATGGTCCGTGTGCTCGAAAGGATGCGAGAAAGGATTTATAGGGTTCAGGGTTTCGGGTTTGGTAGTCTCGGGGTGTGCGTGATCCCTTAACCCTCAACCCTCAACTTCAACCCTAAACCCTTGCTGCCCCCCAAGGGCCGGCGGCCCAGGTGGACAGCCACCAGCACAACCGAACTTGCAATCGCCAGGAGAGCCGAAAAGAATGGCACCTGGTTGGGGTTTAGGCTTTCGGGTTTTGGGTTCAGGGGGTCCTCTTGTAAGAGACTCAAGTCTAAACCCTCAACCTGAATCCCTAAACCCCTGACTCTGAGTAAGGGGGAACAGTGACCCTCTAGACCCTAAACCCTAAACCCACCTGAGTCCCGATCAGGCTCCAGCCGATCGTGCCCGCAGCGTTGATGACGATCAGCTCAATGATGATCAGGAGAACCCCGGGGCCTAGAACCTAGGCTGGCTCGTAGTGTGGGGTTTAGGGTTTAGGGTTGAGGGTTTAGGGTTTAGGGCTTAGGGAATTATGAGGTTATAGGGTTCAGGGTTACATGAAAGGGCTACATGGGGGGATATAGGTATTCTCTATCTACTGCCTGAAGGCTCTGATGGAATTCATTGGGCTAGTTATAGGAGGTTTTTGTATACTACTCTAAAAAGGTACTACATAGGAGCCTTTAGGTAAGAACTCCTAAACCCTAAACCCTAAACCCTAAACCCTAAACCCTAAACCCTAAACCCTAAACCCTAAACCCTAAACCCTAAACCCACAAAGGAACTGTAGGTCGGATCGTCAGCGCAGGCTTCATACCACGCTGGCGGCTGTGTAGGAACGCCCCGAGTTCGAAGACACACCTCCGAGACTCAGTGAAGAGGCGCCAAGGGCTCTTGTTCTAGGTTGCCCCTTTTCTATGCTTAATTAAGTGGTTTCTAACGGAACCTAACCCCCCCAAGAAGGGAATAAGGGCACGACTGGGCATCCTAGTCTTCGTTTAAAAAAAAAACACACAAGAGACGCTCACAGACGTACTTCTTCGGCAGATTAGACCCTAAACCCTAAACCCTAAACCCTAAACCCTAAACCCTAAACCCTAAACCCTAAACCCTAAACCCTAAACCCTAAACCCTAAACCCTAACAAAAGAAGGTGGACCAAAAAAGAAAGGCTCGCTTGAAAGAAGAGCCGGGGCGCCACAAGCGCTTCACGTAGCTCGGATCCCAAAGAACCTTGGGGACGAACCCTAAACTTCTAAACCCTAAACCCTAAACCCTAAACCCTAAACCCAAACCCTAAAAGGGTCGATGGTTCATATACCCCTGGTAAAATTATAGTAGTATGAGGGTACGTAAAGAGGACCCCCCCCCCCCCCCCAATTCTTAGGGGTCTGCTTTGGCCCCCAAGGAACAAGCATGGCGTCCGAGCATTTCAGAAAGGCTCCCAAGCTCATCAGTGCGTCGTTCTTCAATGACTCATCCGTCTGGGAGATACAAATTCTGTCGATGAAAATCCTGGGGGTCGCCCAGTAACCACATTGCAAGATGGGTTTAGGGTTTAGGGTTTCTTTACTTTTAAACCCTAAACCCTAAACCCTAAACCCTAAACCCTTTAAAAGGGAACCGTGAACCCTCAACAAAAAGATAGGGAAAAGGTGTGCCACTGGGCTGCCAAGAATCTGCTGCCGACTCCGCCAACAAACCAAAGTAACCAGGTACGTGAAGGCCCCAACGCCAGAACACCAGCCCAGGACAGGAGGCAAGACACCGCCGCTATAGAGCCTTAAGACATATGAGGATAGCAATCAATCAATCAATCAATATATACAAATAAAAATATATATATATATATATATATGTATGATCATTTATACTAGCTATATATAATACGCCCTAGAGCACAATCCAGGGATGAACAAATGCCACCGTCTCCGACTTACATTTCAAAGCAGGCCCCCCCCTAAACAATTGCCTGAAGCTCAACTTTTGATAAGCTAAGAGGCGCGCACGTCAGCAAAACAGAAGCCGTGCTCACAGCCGCTGCAGCCGCGCTGTTGTTCAAAATCAGCAGGGTCAAAATCTTCGCCCAAACAGACCCGTGCCAACTATGTGACCAAAAGGAAGCCTTGGTAGCCCAGGAATCATATTGGATACTTTACAAGGGAACCTCGACGCCCTAAACCCTAAACCCTAAACCCAAACCCTAAACCCTAAACCCTAAACCCTCGACCCTAGACCCTGGGCCCTAAACCCAAATCGCACTGGGCTACCAAGCAGCAATCCGGGTGCTTGGGCGACTCCAGCCAAAGAACTCGCCATGCCGTTGCCGCAGGGGCCGTCCCAGACATTTCATCGCCTCTGGGTTCAGGGTTTTGGGTTTATAGGGTTTAGGTTTAGGGTTTATAGGGTATAGGGTATAGGGTTTAGGGTTTATGAATGTACTTCGTGTATCTATCTAAAGAGGTACTTCGTAGACATAAGGGTTTAGGGTTTAGGGTTTAGGGTTTGCGGGTTCCAGTAACCATGTTACATTATGGTAGAAGGGCAGCCTTTTTGGTGCATTTGTTACCCTCAGGAAGGAAACACGGAACCGACAAATGGCCACAGCCGTGGGTGGGCTGCCCTAAACCCTAAACTCCCTAAACTCCCTAAACTCCCTAAACCCTAAACCCTAAACCTAAACCCTAAACCCTAAACCCTAAACCCTAAGCCCAGACCTGGAAGGCGGGGGTGGCCCGCACGATGTCGTCACGGCTGGGAAGCATCTCCGCAACCAAGGAGCTCAACACGAGCTCCCAGTCCTGGGAGCACATTTCGGCTTGGGGTTTAGGGTTTAGGGTTTAGGGTTTAGGGTTTAGGGTTTAGGGTTTAGGGTTTAGGGTTTAGGGTTTAGGGTTTAGGGTTTAGGGGTAGGGTTTAGGGTTTAGGGTTTAGGGTTTAGGGTTTAGGGTTTAGGGTTTAGGGTTTAGGGTTTAGGGTTTAGGGTTTAGGGTTTAGGGTTTAGGGTTTAGGGTTTAGGGTTTAGGGTTTAGGGTTTAGGGTTTAGGGTTTGGGGTTTAGGGTTTAGGGTTTAGGGTTTAGGGTTTAGAGCAAAGGGGCAGTGGTCCGACTGGACGTGTTGAAAACTACAATCCCTAAAACCCGAGATTCGACAACAACTGACAGAGGCATGTCCCAGTATACATACACATATGTAGATAGTAGTAAACATCTAACTAAGTAAATACATGTCGTACATTCGTATACCCCCCCCAAGGACCCACATTTCCAACTCATCTTCAACTCACTACACACACATGTACACGGCCCCAAACCCTAAACCCTAAACCCTAAACCCTAAAGCCTAAACCCTAAACCCTAAACCCTAAACTTGTATGTGGCATCCAACTGTATCTCGGTTGTTGGCTCCGGGATCCCGGCCGTTTCAGTTGAAACGGCAAGGATCCAAGATCCAAGATTTTGCAGGATTTTAGGGTTTAGGGTTTAGGGTTTAGGGTTTAGGGTTTCCTTGCCGAGACATCTTGGAATCCCGACTCTTGGATCCCGGCCGTTTCCATTGAAGCGTTTTAAATTCGTTTCCATCTCAAGCGGCCGGGACCCAAGATTCACCTTAAGCGTGCCTGTGACATCTTGGATCTTGGACCCCGGCCGTTTCAAGTGGGAAACGTTTATTCGTTCCAACTCAATTTTTTGTAAATCAAATCCAGGAGCAATTATGGGGGCTTAATATGGCTTCCTTACCTCCTTTATAGGGTTCAAGTATGGGCCCTTGGGTTGTGTAGGGTATATGAGGGGTGTATAAGGGGTCCCCTTTTGAGGGCCCATTTCAGCTGGGCCATGCAGCTTTGTGCATGAAGAGCTTGGTGTAGGGTTTGTAACACGCCGCCACGGTGTAGGGTTTAGGGTTTAGGGTTTAGGGTTTAGGGTTTTAAGGCAACTTTCATAGATTGCCCTTCTGCTATGGCCCACATGGAAGTCGGAGATTTAGTCCGAAATCTTGGATCTTGAATCCGGGCCGATAGGATTAAATCGGCCTATCATTCTCTCTTATGCGCACTCGCTGCTTTTCACATGTCAGCAGCCGCATGCATTGCGTTCTGTATGGTTTACAACGCGCCGCTATTCCTGGAGCTTCTCAAGGAATCATTCTGTAAGGGCACCGAAACCTTGAAGCCTGAACCTAAACCCTTAACCCTAAACAGTGTATAGAACTGACATCAGCCGGCCTCGTCAAGAGTCTCCTCGGGGTGGTGGGGATGCCCCAGCATCTGTGGTGAGTCGACCATGGCGTTTAAGGTTTAGGGTTTAGGGTTTAGGGTTGGGGTGTCTGAAGTTGTGTTCGGCTTAGGGTGGGTGATAGGGCTTAGAGTGGCTTACTAGGAATAGCTGAGATTTTGGATGGGTTGTAGGGCTTAGGGTTTGCGTAGGGACGAGGGCTGGAAAGGGGTTTATATTCGAGTTTTGGGGTGGGCATGTCTAGTAAGAATGGGTAGCATGGCCTGCCTTTTTTGGCATAGGTAGGTTGAGAATTTAGGGTTTAGGGTTTAGGGTTCAGAACTTAGGGCTTAGGGTTTTTCAGGTTTAGTCCCACGCGGATGGTGGTGTGGTATGGAGGATGGCGGGGCCAAAGCACCGCCACAGGGACGAGATGACCTCGCAGACTCTAAAACTGAAGCCAGACAGCGGCGGGCGCTTCTTCTTTGAACGTCGAAACCCCTCACGACTTGGTGCCCCAAGACCCAAAGCCCTAAACCCTAAACCCTAAAGCCTACGTCCCTCTGAAGGCTAACTGGTGCAAACTCCACAAGCAACACCTTTATCGTACCGAACCCTGCAGGCTGAGCCCTGCCACATTCGTGCTCAGTGAACCCTAAACCCTAAACCCCAAAGCCGAAACCCTAAACTCTAAACCCTTCCGAGGAAGAGAAAATGAGCCCAACCGGTTGGCCAAGACGCCGCATGCAGCGTGATGAGCTCCTTCCAGGGGCCTGCACTTTGTCAAAGGGTTAGCTAAGGGTTTCAGGTTTAGGGTTTAGGGTTTGAGGAGCCTCCACTGCTGTACCTTTCTAGCGTACGTACACTTTGGGGTTTAGGGCTTTGGGTTTGCGGCTTAGAGCTTAGGGTGCATATAAGCAAGACGAAAGAATATATGTCAAAACCCCCTCGGCTTGAACCCCAAGCCCGGAGGTTTAGAGTCTTGGAACCCTAAGCCCTGAACCCCTAAACCCCAAACCCCAAACCCCAAACCCCGAAAGTTGAAGGAGTTTAGGCAACATAGGGGCCTTCATCATGACAATTGGGCCTAGGGTTTCGGGCTACTATGGGGGCCTTAATGGTTAAGATATTTTCTGGGGGGGTCTTAGACCCCAAACCGCCAACCCACAAACACCCTAAACCCTAAACCCCAAGCCCTCAAACCCAGAACTAAGATCCCCAAGCACGAAAGCAGCCCGAGGTACCCAGTGCCGTGAGGATCGCGGCTTTCCTGAGGGGCAGTCGCTGAAGTATCATCTTAGCTCCATTTTCTTGTGTTGAGTTTTGGGTTCTAGGTTTAGGAATTGTTCCAGGATAGCAGATTCGGAATTTAAGTTGAGTTCAGGTGGAGGTGTGGAGGTACCTCACCGTGCCGAGCACCAGCAATACCAATACACGTCGCAACACGCCGTATTCAGGCAACTCCGTGCCCCGTCGATGTTCGACACTCATGTCTTTGCCCAGACCCAAAACCGAAGGTGGCCTGCAGACCCTCACGTAAGGGTGCGAAAGCCTGAGCCCAACCTGAATTCGACGCCCAACCTTACATCCACCCCAAAAGCCTCAAGCCTCAAAGGATAAACCATACACCCTAAACCCTAAACATTAAACCCTCAACCCTCAACCCTCAACCCTCAACCCTCAACCCTCAACCCTAAACCCTAAACCCTAAACCCAACCCACAGGAGACCTGAAAGCCAGGAGCCTGCCTCACTAGACTCATCCCAGAAAACCCATGGGCATGACTGAGGAGCTTGGGCGACCACAGGCATATAGCCATGGGTTCAGAAACAGGGCCTTTCGGGTTTAAAGTTGAGGGTTTAGGATTTAGGGTTTGGGGTTTAGGGTTTCGGGTTTATGACATTCAGGTTTACGTGACCGACAACTGTTGACGCGGATGGCACTCGCCTGAGAGAGAAAGTGACGATGATGCAGTAGGGGGCGTTCCTACTTCAGTGGTACCCATTTTGGGGGCTCCTGTACTAAGGATGAATATTGGAGGTTCCTAAACCCTACTAACCTTCAGCCCTTAACCGCAAACCCCAAACCCTATACCAGAGTCATGCTTGTTTTGACTTTTGCGGCTAAACCCTAAACCCTAAGCCCTAAACCCTAAACCCTAAACCCTAACCCTAAACCCTAAACCCTAAACCCTAAACCCGGGGGGGGGGGGGGGGGGGGGGGGGGGGGTAAATTGGGGAAGCCCTTATTGAGTTTCGAAGAAAAAAACCGACCCAAGAGGGCCATTTCTCGGGGCTTGGCTTCCCTGTTAACCGGGTTTAGGGTTTAGGGTTTAGGGTTTGGGGTTTAGGGTTTAGGGTTTAGGGTTAGGGGTTTAAGGTTTAGGGCGTCGGGATTTAGGGAATAAGGCTTAGGGGTTTTAGGGTTTAGGGCTTGGGGCTTTCGGGTTTAGGGCTTGGGGTTTAGGCTTTAGGGCTTAGGGGTTCAGTTGAGGCTTTTGGGGCTGAGGGCCAAGGGTTTTCAGGCTTTTGGGCTGAAAAGTCTTCCAGTGCATCCAAGGCGTCACAATCTCCTCTGAGATCTCGCTGGATGTGGTGAGGAGAAAATGCTTCCTGCCATTAACAAGGCGAAAGCCCTAAGCCCTGGAAACCCGGAGCCCTGGAAACCCAAAACTAAAAAGCCCTAAACCCGTACACCCTAAACCCCCTAAAAACCCTGAAGCATGTTCTAGGAGGGGCTTCAAGGGCGCTAGGGCTTTCAGCTTAGCAGCCGGAGTTTCTCATGTTTTTGAGGGCTTGCGGGGTTGGCGGGTTTGGGGTTTAGGGTTTGGGGGGGTGAAGGTTTAGCGTTTAAGGCTCAGGGTTCAACCCCTAAACCGCACAACCTAAACCCCTAAACCCCCCCAAGCCCTATGAAAATCCTGACCTGTTCGAACATTCCCAAGTGCCCTCGACCCATAGAGAAACTCTGCAAAGTGCGCCGTTGGGAGTTCTAGAGTTTGGGGTGTAGGGCTTAGGGAGTACTGGAGGTCTAGGGAGATCGTTTTCAGTCTTCAGTACAGGGGCATGGGACCTGAGCCAAATGGCGGAGGTTGCTTTAAACACAGGGAAGAGATGTTCAGTGTACTACCTGGGTGTGCTGCCGGCTTTCGGGTGTCATGCCCTCGTATTGTCGCGGGGATTCTTCCTCTAAGTTGCAAGGGTTGTGGCGAGGCTAAATGTGGGGATTGGGTGTTGGGAGGTTGGGTTTCTAGGGAACACGGCCAACCATCTGAATTATCTCTGCTCGTTCCTCTTCGCGTCCCTGCTGCATTGTGGCTCCACCACAATTGGGCGGTTGCTCAGGAGCTTACTTTCTTCTCCTAGAATATGGGGTAGGCTCTAGGAACCCAGGCTGTGGTGATGAGATTTTGTTTCTTTAACAAAAGGACCTTAAACACCTACACCCTGAAACAAAAAACCGAAACCCGAAACCCTAAACTCCTAAACCCTAAACCCCTTAACCCCCCCCCCCCCTGGACCCTTCACCCTCACAAGCCGAAGAAACCCTAGACGCGAAACCCTAAACCCTGGACCCTAAACCCCAAACCCCAAACCCCAAACCCCAAACCCCAAACCCCAAACCCTAAACCCTAAACCCTAAACCCTAAACCCTAAACCCTGACATCCCCAAAGCCCCAAACTGCTCCTGGCCGGGCCCAGCAGCGGCGGGTCCTGGAGTTCGCCTTGGCAAGGCTTGGGAATTCATGTGATTTAGGGTTTAGGGTTTAGGGTTTAGGGTTTAGGGTTTAGGGTTTAGGGTTTAGGGTTTAGGGTTTAGGGCAAAGGGTGTTTGACCAGCCGAGACCCGAGGAAGTCATCCATGCCAAGCAAGCACCAGCTTTGTTCCCTCATGTTCCGTAGACACCCTAAACCCTGTGAATTCAGAGCTTTGACCAACCGCAGTTCGGGCGCAGTAGAAGAGATAGAGGGCTTGAGGCTCCCGAAGCGACCAAGGTGAAGATTGAACCATAAGGTTTCCGGGCATTTCGCAGCAAGCCGGTCTTGATCACAGAGATCGCTAGATGAACCAATAACCCCGTTTAGAGCTCGGGTGCTGCGTGGGGTTGCCAATTCCGTCCACTCTTTGCTGTCGCTGAGTCATGTTCAGTATATGGTTTAAGGGTTTAGGGTGACAACCCAAGCTGGATGGCCCCCCAGAATCGTAGGCACTAAAGTCACTAAAGACGACCTTGATAGCTGATAGCCCAACCCCGACTTTCGGAAAACTTAGGGCTCGCAAGTCCTGTGCCCGCCGAGGCAACGGCCGAAGGCCCAAAACAAGTCCAAGGCGTCGTGAATTTCCTTCCGATGGAACACCGTGTCTGACCCCCTGAGCCCTAAACCCTGAACCCTAAACCCCTTTTTGCATCCATCTAACACCCTCTTGCAAGGCTTGTCTCCGGTGAGGTTTGAAAGCGCCGCCGTGCCTAAGGAGCATGACACCCCCCGACCCCTTATCCACGTTGCCAGCCCGTCATAGTACACCTGGAAGAAACCTATGTGCTGGTAAGCCAGGGGGGAGGGGGGCAGGGGGTGGGGGCTGCACCCAAGTTCGCCCTAGCCGCACGAGAAAGCTCTCGGGATACTAGGTTGATCTGAAGAACGGAATTTAAGGCTCCCAAACAGTTATCATGCAGGAGACGGCAATCCCTGAGTCTATACCCACCCCCCAGCAACAAACAGAAGCCTCAAGTTTACAATGTTCTCGCGTCCCGACCTCCTTGAACCGAATTTACATCGTCAGAGCACGAACCCCGCAACACCAACGAGACTTAGATTTCAGCCCATATAGGATGGCCCGTAAAACCCTCTGAAAGTTTCAGTCTGAAAGATACTCTTAAATAGGATCCTCTTCAACCCAATAACGGAAAATATGCAATGTCCCTGGCCCAAGCGTCTACCGAGCCATGGGAGTTTGGGGCTACGGGGCTTTTGGCTCAAGATAGCCTGGGGCAACTCCCTTGTCCCGAGCCTCCAGCACCCAACCCGACGTCCTACCAGTATCGAAAACGCTCCTGATAGAATATTTTTCAGGACCACAGGGGAATCCGACCCCTGCATTACTAGTAGGGTCCCCACCCAAAGGGATACATACTAGAATCTCGGACAGAACATACTCCAAAAATCACAAAGCAGCGAATCATTGGGTCTGTGGGGCTATGTGAATCCACAGATCACTTTGCACGGTTATCGGCAGCTGTGCTGCCATAGTCGTGCACCAAGAAAACACATTTAGTTGACCAGCGCATGCTGGGATCACCAATGTGCATTGTCGTTTTTCAGGACACAATGCCGCTGATGACCGATTTGTTTGCGTCTGTGTGCTTGTGTCACGTCCTAAACCCCCTTCAGGCAAAATCTACTGGCCCTAAACCCTAGAACTCCACCCTAAACCGCAAACCCTAAACCCTAAACCCTGAACCCTAGAGACCCTAAACCCTAAACCCTAAACCCTAGACCCTAAACCCTAAACCCTAAACCCTAAACCCGAGAAACCTAAGCCCTCACCTCCTACGGCGCGCGGCGCCTCCATGCCTCGATCATAAGCACTCCGCGCCCAGCGTGGCGGCGGGAGGCCTCGGGTGTTTTTAGGGTTAGGGTTTAGGGTTTAGGGTTTAGGGTTTGGGGTTTAGGGTTTAGGGTTTAGGGTTTAGGGTTTAGGGTCTAGGGTTGGTTTTTCTCGTTGCGTGTGTTTTGTTGTTTTCATAACTTTATCGTTGCATGGTTGCCCAAAAGTGTTTTAAAGTCAGCGAATTTGGGCGAGCTTATACCAATCATGTCCAAAGAGTTGTTCCCGCCTAGCAGTCTACTCCTGACTTAGCCCAGGGTGTCCCTGGAGTGCGAGTGCCCCAACCCCGTCTGTCCCTGGAGTGCCCAACCCCAGAGTATCTCTACCTAGAGAGGGTGGGGATATTCGAAGTAAAAAAAGATTTAAACGAGCTCATTTAGTTTGGTCGACTTCAATTTAGGGTTTCGGGTTTTCGGGACTGTGGCAAGGCACCCGAAAATTTAGAGGCATTTTTTCGTGGCCCTTTTCAGCGCCTTCGGGGCCGGCTTTGAGGCCCCAAAAGGAGAGGTTTAGGGTTTAGGGTTTAGGGTTTAGGGTTTAGGGTTTAGGGTTTAGGGTTTAGGGTTTAGGGTTTAGGGTTTAGGGTTTAGGGTTTAGGGTTTGGGGTGTAGGGTTCAGAGTTTGGGGCGATCTAGTGTAGGACGCGCGAAACCACACCCGCCGCAAACCTTCAATTTCGCTGAAAAGCCAGCGATCAGCAAAACCATGGGTAGGGAACCCAACAAGGGTATGCTTCTACTTCTCTCAACCCAAGCCCTAAACCCTGAATCCTACACCGCCTCTTAACCCTAGACCCTAAAACCCTAAACCCCTAAACGCTAAACCCTCAACCGTAAACCGTAAACCCTAAACCCTAAACCCTAAACCGAACCCCACGTACCCGGCCTGGCACGGTTGGCACCTCGACGGAGGGCGGCGTGGATGTCGCCAGCAGTGCGGAGAGGTCAGCGGCCTCCTGCCGTTCTGTGAATTCAGGCTTTGTGTGCAGGGTTCAGGGTTGGGGTTTAGGGTTTAGGGTTTAGGGTTTAGGGTTTAGGGTTTAGGGTTTAGGGTTTAGGGTTTAGGGTTTAGGGTTTAGGGTTTAGGGTTTAGGGTTTAAGGTTTAGGGTTTAGGGTTTAGGGTTTAGGGTTTAGGTTTGGGGCTTCGGGTTAGGGTTTAGGGTTTAGGGTTTAGGGTTTAGGGTTTAGGGTTTAGGGTTTCGGGTTTCGGGTTTCGGGTTTCGGGTTTCGGATTTCGGGATAGGGTTTCTGGACTCAAGAGTAAACCAGGAGTGAAAAGGGTACAGTTTTGGGCTAAAAGGGGCTTAGAGGGAACCTAAACCCTAAACAGGAAATAAAGGCCTACTCTGAGTCCTAGTTAAGAAACCCAAAAGGATTTGTTTTTTTCAGCTCCTTGTGGAACACACGTAAAAGTAGGTTTGTTGGCAAAGGTAAACGGTTGTGCGTAAAACCTAAATCCCGAAAACCCCAGCACGGCACGGAACTTCCACCCGTCCCTGACTCTCCAACTTTGGTGTTCGGGGTTTGGCTACGTCTACGGCTGCAAGGGCTGGTGGTACCCTCAACCCTCAACCCCGAACCCCTGCAATAGAACTGGGTCGCTTAGAGCCCTGCTTTGCTGGATCTAGGGTTCATGCAGGGTTTAGGGCACAACCTATAGGTGAATTCGTGTGCCGCACGTGTCCTGGGTGAGGTGGTGGATGGAACGCGGCAGCTTCGCAAGCGTCTGCAGCGAGCTCTCTACGCGAACGCCTAAACCCTACACCCCAAACCCTGAACCCTGAACAATCCTAAACTCTAAGCCCCAAACCCCAAACCCTACAAACCCTCAACCCTCAACCCTAAACCCTAAACCCTAAACCCTAAACCCTAAACCCTTCCCCACAAAAGGAAAAGCAGCTTGGCCAGTCCCATGCAAAGCAGCCCCGATGAGCCACCCAACCCCGAACGCCTGATGGCAGCCACGCTACGAACATGGAAACAAAACTCCGGAGTCGTAAGTGGGTTTAGGGTTTAGGGTTTAGGGTTCAGGGTTGCTTTAGGGTTTAGGGCTTAGGGTTTAGGGTTTAGGATAAGTCTGTCCATGGTTTGGGTTTTAGGCTTGGGGTTTGGGTGCGAGTTTTTGCCCTAAACCTTATGCCCTAAACACTAAGCTCTAAACTTCTAAACCCTACTTAACCCTAAACCCTAAACCCTAAACCCTAAACCCCCCCCCCCCCCCCCCCCCTAAACGCTTGCCTCCATGTTTGTCCGGGCCAACGTCAAGGCATCTACGCTCCTGAGAGACGCTCTGGGCACACATTAGCCTTGAAGGCTTAGGGTTTAGGGCTTCCAGGGGCTTTGGGTTTAGGGTCTAGGGCTTAGTGAGTTCAGGGCTTAAAGGCTTGTATTCGGGTTTAGGACTTAGTATGAGCACTGATGTCATCAATCGTAATCATAGGGTAGTTGCATGGTCCGTTCATATGGCCCGTTGGAAGGGCACCCCTCACATACCCCTTATATACCTTGCAGAACCCAAGGGCGCGTACATCAGAAACCTTTAGCGAGGCAAAGGGGCCATATTAAGGGACCATGAAACTACTCTTAACATCAACGACAAAGGCTGAATATTAGGGCCAAGTCTGTCTAAGACTTCAAAAAGTAGACCCCAAACCCTAAACCCTAAGCCCTAAGCCCAAACCCCCAACCCTAAACCCTGAGCCCAAACCCTAAACCCTAAACCTAAACCCTGAACCCTGAACCCTGAACCCTAAACCCTTAAACCCTTACACCCTTAAACCCTTAAACCCTTAAACCCTTAAACCCTTAAACCCTTAAACCCTAAACCCTAAACCCTAAACAAGACAAGAAGTTCTTGGCCGAGGCTCCTGGCCATGCCATGTGCCGTCGCGAAGGTTTGGGCGGAGCCTGGCGAGAACTTGTGGGGTTTAGGGTTTAGGGCTAGGGTTTAGGGCTTAGGGCTTGGGGTTTAGGGTTTCGGGCCCCTAAGCCCCAAACACCCGAAACTCCGAATTAAACCATAAAATCCTGAAGCCCTTGGCCCTAAATCTACAACCCTCGACTAAGCCCTAAGAAGCAAGGCACCAGCTTCACCCAAACGTCCTGCACCCCTACACCCCTAACCCCACTAAACACCTAAAACCCTGCCCTAACCCTAAACCCTAAACCCTAAACCCTAAACCCTAAACCCTAAACCCCAAGGCCCTGGCCTCCCCCAAACCCCTAAGCTCCTAGACTGGACTGGGTTTGGGGGCCTGTATACAACATGTTTTCTACGCGTTTATGGTTTAGGGTTTAAAAGGTTCAGCTTAGGGTTCAGGATTTTCGGTTTAGGGTTTAGGGCTTAGGGTTCAGGATTTTCGGTTTAGGGTTTAGGGTTTTGGGGTCTAGGGACGGCCGATAGGCGCGCAACAAAAGCTCTTTCCATATCAGCCGCAGCAAACCCCCCCAAAAAACCTGAACCTTAAGGTCTGAGGTTTTAGGGCTCTAGCGCTTCAGGGCTTTAGGAAATTCGGTTTCAGGGGCCCTGGAACGCAAACCCTATATAAGGTCCGAGGCTTTAGGGTTTTAGGGTTTAGGGTTTTAGGTTTAGGGGTTTAGGGGTTTAGGGTTTTAGGGTTTAGGGTTTAGGGTTTAGGGCTTTAGGCTTTCGGGCTCTTTGGCTGCGCGACCCCGAACTGTAAACCCGAGACGCGGGGCCTGACACCCAGCCGCCAAAGTCTTTGGGCGGGAAAGAGTCGCACCACAGGGCAGAGGCCTGGCAGGGTTCAGGGTTGAGGGTTGAGGGTTGAGGGTTGAGGGTTCAGGGTTAAGGGTTTAGGGTTAAGGGTTTAGGGTTTAGGTTTAGGGTTTAGGGTTGAGGGTTGAGGGTTAAGGGTCTGGGTTTAGGGTTTAGGGGGAGGGGAGGGGTTTAGGACTTTGTTTTATGGTGAGGGATTAAGGGTTTTGGGAGTTTGCGGGGTGCCTGGGTGTGTGTTTAGGGCCTCAGGACGAGGACGAGGATGAGGACGAGGAGGAGGACGAGGAGGAGGAGGAGGAGGAGGAGGAGGAGGAGGAGGAGGAGGAGCAAACTGCAAACACCCTAAACACCCTAAACCCCTAAACCCCTAAACCCGTAAACCCGTAAACCCCTAAACCCCTACACCCCTAAACCCCTAAACCCCGAAACCCCCTAAACCCCCAAACCCCTAATCCCCTAAACCCCCTAAACCCCCAAACCCCCAAACCCCTAAACCCCTAAACCCCCAATCCCCTAAGCCCCTAAACCCCTAAACCCTAGTAAACCCTAAACCGTAGTACTGTCAACCCTCAACCCTAAACCCTAAACCCTGATAAACCCTAAACCCTAACCCTATAAACCCTAAACCCTAAACCCTAAACCCTAAACTCTATAAACCCTTAACCCTAAATAGATATTGAAGGACCTGGACGCCGCAGGCCCGCAGCGTGTGGGTCGGGGGAAGCGCCGACCACGAGCCAGGCTGGCAGGGGAGGCTCTGGGGGTTTCTAGGGTTTAGGGTTTAGGGTTTTCTAGGGCTCCAGTGGGGTTTAAGGGTTTAGGGTTTAGGGGGTTTAGGGGTTTAGGGGGTTTAGGGGTTCAGGGTTTAGGGGGGTTTAGGGGGTTTAGGGGGTTCAGGGGTTTGGGGGTTTAGGGTGTCTTGTTCTAGGTTGCCCAGTAACCAGTAACCTAGGATGAAAAAGGGTGCCCTTTTTTGCTTAAAGGGGTTTATAAGGGAACCTGAACCTACCAAAAAGGGAATAAGGGTACTACTGGGCATCCTAGTGTTGTAGGGCTTCAGATTTTAGGGTTTAGGGTCTACTTGGCAGTTCATGGGATTCGAATATACTCCTCTAGACAGGTGCTACATAGAAGACTTTAGCTACACTCACTCTGGTGTGGGGGGTTCAAGTTCTCGCGCTGTTGCAAGGTGCCTCAACGACCTGGATCAGCTCCCGCGGCAGCCCTTCCTTGCAACTGGGGTTTAGGGTGTAGGGCTTAAGGGTTTAGGGTTTAGCGTGTAGGGCATAGCGTCACACGCCACTGACAGGGTCAGCTACGCCGTGCGGTTCAATTCTTTTGGGGCTGGAGAAGGCTCCCCGACATCACAACTGCGGGATTAAGGGGATCTAGACGCTCTTCATCAGGTTCCTCCTAACGAGAACAGAATGGAACACAGAAGGATAAGCAGGGTTTTAGGGTGTTTTGGGTTTAGGATTTCTCGCTTAATTTGGGTCTAGGGTCTCCTATGAGAACCAGGAATGATGTGTTTTCTGTATAGCTCCGACACACCTACCCGGCGTGAGAAATAATGACTCTATGTATATGTCGGGCGTTCTCAACATTGTACCCACATTGCGCACCTACCGCGGCCCCTAAACCCTAAACAACCCTAAACCCTAAACCCTAAACCCTGGACCCTAAACCCTAAACCCTAAACCCTAAACCCTAAACCCTAAACCCTAAACCCTAAACCCTAAACCCTACATGAATCGGGAACCTTGCCGCTAAACAAACAAACAGAGAAGGGCACTTCTGGGTGTCCTAAACCCTAAACCCTAAACCCTAAACCCTAAACCCTAAACCCTAAACCCTAAACCCTAAACCCTAAACCCTAAACCCAAACGCCTTCAAGTCTACACCGTGAGGCCCTTCACCGTTAACGCGTACTGCTGGGCCGTTCAGAGACTCGGGCTTTCGGGGTGGAGGCCGGGTCCGAGTTCGGGTTTGGGGTTTGGGGTTTAGGGTTTAGGGTCGAGGGATTAGGGTTTGGGGTTTAGGGTTTGGGGTTTAGGGTTTGGGGTTTGGGGTTTAGGGTTTAGGGTTTGGGGTTTAGGGTCTAGGGATTAGGGTTTTGTTTTGGGTGGAGCTCCCAGGCAGCGCCACACTAAACCTTCCAGCCTCGACCAGGCTAAACCTGAACCTCAAAACTCTAGGGTTTATGGTTTAGGGGTTAGGGTTTAGGGTTCAGGGCTTATACATCCCCAAACTCAAGTGGCGGAGCAAGCTGAGGTGCCGTCCACCATGGATTGCAGCTCTGCGGCCGCTTGAGACTCGGCTGCCACCTAAGCGGTGCCAGGGCAAGAAGCCCTGAACTCTACGTTTAGGGTTTAGGGTTTAGGGTTTAGGGTTTAGGGTTTAGGGTTTAGGGTTTAGGGTTTGGGGTTTAGGGTTTAGGGTTTATAAGGGTTAAGGGTTTAGGGTTTATAAGGGTTAAGGGTTTAGAATTTAGGGCTCCTATACCCCTAAACCCTAAACAGAGCCTGCATCTCCTACCCTAAGCCCATAGACCCCGAAACTGCGAGCTCCACAGAGAGTGCAGGACTTGGGATTGGGGGTTACGGTTCCAGAGGTCCAGGGCTGCAGGGCGCTAAGGGCTCAGGGCTTTAGGGTTTAGGGCTTTGGTTTTAGGGTAGGTTTTATATAGGGGTGAAGGTTGAGGGTTTTGGGTGTTAGGGTATAGTATTCAGGAGGTTTAAGATGGTTTAAGCGTCTGAGGGTTCCTGGGTTTGTAGGGACCGAAAGCCCCCCACCCCCCTCCCCCTCCTCCCCCCTCCTCCCCCCCCCTCCCTCCCCCCCCTGTAGCATGGGTCCCCTCCTACCCCCTCCAGGTTCCCCCCTAATGAAGGCATTTTAGGGAGAATCAAGCATGATTCCTTAGGGGGGTTTGCAGGGAAACCCATGAAGAGCTGGTAGTTGAGGGCAGAGGAGGATCAGGCTTGGGGGCCCATACTCTTGGAGGTTGCTGGGACATTCGAGTGAATGCCGTACGTAGAACCCCACTCATGGACACCCAATGAACCTCAAGCACCCGGAACCCTACACCTTAAACCCGAAATCCTAACCCCTAAACCTTAAATCCCTCACCCTAAACCCTAAACCCTAAACCCTTTAGGCCCTAAACCCTAAACCCTAAACCCTAAACCCTAAACCCTAAATCCCTCAACCCTAAATCCCTCAACCCAAGGAAGCCGCCGTCACCACCGCCCCGCGCAGGAGTGCCATGGCCGCCTCGCTGGCGGCGCAGGGCACGGAGGCCTCGCCCAAGGGTTTAGGGTTTAGGGTTTAGGGTTTTAGGGTTTAGGGTTTAGGGTTTAGGGTTTAGGGTTTAGGGTTTAGGGTAAGGGTTTAGGTTTTAAGGGTTTGGGGTTTTAGGGTTTAAGGGTTTAGGGTTTGGGGTTTAGGGCTTAGGGTTTTAGGGGTTCCCCTGCCTTGGGGACCAAATGAGCCCTAAAATCACAGCAATGAGGGCTTGAACAGGGAAGAGGAACTTGCAGTTGACCCAGCTCAGTTGTAGAGTGCGCAGGGTATTGTGCGACGTGTCATTTTGGGGGAGGTCAGTGGGTTAGCTTCGAGAGTTGAGAAACTGAGCGTCGTAGGCATTCCGGGCGTCCATGCCTGCACCCTTAGGTTTAGGGTTTCGGATTTAGGGTTTCGGGTTTAGTGACTTCAAAACCTTGAGTGCACATGACATTATGTGCTGAACGTGATTGCCAGGCAACCGGTGTGATCGAGGCCGACAGTACACCCTATAAATCCTTAACCCTAAACCGTAAACCCTAAACCCTAAACTGACAAGAGCACAAGTATCGGTCAACGACTGAATCGCGACTTTCCCCCGCAGGGATGACTTTTTGTGTAGAGTAACTCAACCCAAAACCCAAACCATATAAGAGACCCTCAACCCTCAACCCTCAACCCTAAACCCTAACCCCTGTAGACCCCAAACCCTAAACCCTAAAAGGCCCCGCTTCCGTCAGCGCTGCGATCACTGCAGCGCGGCCCGTGCCGTCGCTGCGTACGCCCAGCACCTGTGGTGCTAGCGGGGCTTAGGGTTTAGGGTATAGGGTTTAGGGTTTAGGGTTTAGGGTTTAGGGTTTAGGGTTTAATTCGGGCTTATAGGGTTGAGACTATAGAATCCAGGGCCGGGGTGTGAAGGGATGAAGGCCATGGCCTATCTCGAGGAATCCCGGGAAATGAAGCATAGTTCGTCGAATGCGCTTAGTTGTGCCTTTCCAAGCCGGTAACCAAAATTGTTAGACCAGTTGAGGTTTAGCAGGATTTACGTTCGCAGCGGTAGGGGGCTTGGGTGAAGTCCCTGGTCCAGATGAGCTGGGACGCCTCGGAGGAAGTGTGCAGCTTGCTGTACCTGGCCGAGGAAGGCTGCCAGGGTCTAAAGGGCTTCGGGCACGTAGGTGCCCTACAAACACTGAACCCTAACCCGTCAACCATAAGCCTCAAGCCTCAACCTTTACCAGCCAAGGCATTGAAAGTTTCCTGTGACATCATACTAGAACCCCACTTGGGGCTCGCATAATTCTACGTCAGCCACCGGTGGCTGCGAGTATGTCAGCACCAATGATTGATGGATTATTGCACAGGGTTCTTCGGCAACCTACAAAAGCTAATTCCTACTCAGGTACATGAACCCAAAAACCCGAAACCCGAAACCCTAAGCCCTGAACAAAGAAGCGTGGTCCGCCGACAATGAACACAGGGCCGTCCCTCTGACTGCTCCAGCCGCCTTCCGTGGAGGGGGCGGGTGGGGGAGGGCCCCTTACTGGGGTTTCGGGTTTAGGGCTTGATAGGGCACACTAACCAAAGCCAAAAAGATCTAAACCCTAAACCCTGAACCTAAACCCTAACCCTAAACACTGAACCCTAAACCCTAAACCCTGAACCCTAAACCCTAAACCCTAAACCCTAAACCCTGAACCCTAAACCCTGAACCCTAAACCCTAAACCCTAAACCCTGAAACCCAAACCCTGAACCCCAAACCCTAAACCCTAAACCCTAAACCCTAAACCCTAAACCCTTCGCGCTGCGGGACGCGGCGGTCACGGCTGCCGTCGCCCCTGAAACCAAGACGCCAGGCTTGAGAATAACCCATCCCGTCAAGGGTTTAGGGTTTAGGGTTTAGGGTTTAGGGTTTAGGGTTTAATGTTGACTTCGCATTAATAACCCCCCCCCCTTCATTGATCAATCTCTCCGGCCAGGGCCTCCTCAATAATATTCGCCTAAATCCTGGTAGGACGTAGTATTAGTTTTAGTATTAGGTAGTTGTTGTTGTGTGTTGTTGTGTGTTGTTGTGTGTTGTTGTGTGTTGTTGTGTGTTGTTGTGTGTTGTTGTGTGTTGTTGTGTGTTGTTGTGTGTTGTTGTGTGTTGTTGTGTGTTGTTGTGTGTTGTTGTGTGTTGTTGTGTGTTGTTGTGTGTTGTTGTGTGCTGTTGTGTGGTGTTGTGTTGTTGTGTGTTGTTGTGTGTTGTTGTGTGTTGTTGTGTGTTGTTGTGTGTTGTTGTGTGTTGTTGTGCGTTGTTGTGTGTTGTTGTGTGTTGTTGTGTTGCTGTGCGTTGTGTTGTGTTGTGTGTTGTTTTGTTGCTGTGCGTTGTGTTGTGTGTTGTGTTGTGTGTTGTTGTGTTGTGTGTTGTGTGTTGTTGTGTTGTGTGTTGTGTGT